TTCCTGACAGTTCTGACGGCCAGTCTTAATTTGTTTAGCTAGAAGCATTTGCAGAAAGAAACCGATGCCGGTAGCAACAAAAACTGCGGGAGACTATGCAAAAAACGCATCTTCGCACGGGCAGCCCGTGCGTTGCCCAGTTATTTTGACCATTGCTCCAATTCCTGATGGTCAGTTTACCAGCGATTCTGGCAGCCATTTCACTTCCTGAAGAGATTAATGATTTTCCGAAAAGAAGCATTTAATAAGGCCCTAACAGTTTTAAAATGACGTAAATCCCTACCTAGCATCGCAAACATCGCGCGATTTTAGGGGTAAAAAATTGGAGCATATTTGGATGAAAGATCAGAGGAATTTTTCCGCAAGGGGGTAGCAATGCGCCCGTGAAACTACAGTCAGGTGATGCAGTAAGTGGGCTCGTAGTGTGGCTTCTCAATCTATGACATGGGCCGCAATTTGGACTTAAGGTTATACATGTTCTGTAATAAATTTGATTCACTCTCCTGGCTTTCTTAGCTTTGTATCTGAGTTATCTAGGCACACGCACACGTACACACACACACACACACACACACACACACACACACACATACACACACGCATTAGCACGCATGCATGCGTACATAGGCAGACAGAAATCGTGTATCATTAATCATCATTATCGCGAAATCATGTGAATTATCATTCGTGTCCATCATCTACCCCACTTTTCCCAGTTGTTTTTTTTCAGTCATTTTTCACTTCCATCAAATCATTCGTTTTGTTCTGTCATTCGCTTCAGCCCCGTCATGCGTCATGTTGCGTCAGATGGACCCTCCTCGCATCTCCTCTCAGCCGCGGTATCACCTGTCCGTCTCCGTGGCGCCATCCTCTGATATTCCCCGGAGAATCGTTCTTTGCAGTCCCCCTCCCACCTTTTTTCCCGCATAGCATTTTCGAAACTCTTTAGTGCTGTGAAGAAGCTTTCTGGCGAAATTTACTGTGCAGAAAAGGCAGTTGCGGGAGAGAAAAAATGCAGTTTCTGTTTCCCGGTACAGTTGCGCGGGTCGTGTCCACATCACTGTTTTTATGGACATCTGCGATTCATCCCAGTAAGTGGTATGGAAGAATTCCACGGGATTTTGCGGTAAGTGATCTGGAGAGGCTCTGAGGAAGTTTTTGGCAAGTTCTAAATTCGGATTCTCGATGTCGGGGTGTTGCGGGAACAACTATCCACATTCAAACGGTCACAGTGGGCTGACGCGTTCCAGTGCTTTGGAGCTAAAGCTGTTTAGAAATGTCTGTTTTGTTATCGTATACTTATCAGTGCTCTGTGTGGTCAACCTATGAGCGGTAACTAATTTGTGTCCATGTGTGCAATCTGCAAGAGTAACACTGACAGAATTACAAAGGAACAATGGAAATTGGAGCTGCAGTTACAATAGAGAAAGAAGAATAGAAATGTGAGGGAGGACAAATAGGAATAAGAAAGAGGCCAGAAAGAGAGAGGAAAGAAGAAAGAAGGGAAAATAATTTCGGCTTTTGAATTCCTTCCTCACAAACGGGTCGTACCAATGAGACTTCTGCAAAGTGCCGGGTTTACGTGGACTGATTAATACCCACGAGATGTGAAAAGACCAACAGGAAGACCGCCGATGTGCTGATCCGACCCGCTAACTCGATTACATGGAATATTGTGCAAGAGGTGACACAGGAAAGAAATCGGTGGCGTGGATTTGGGCTCAATCACTGGAGAAAATCAATCCAAGCTAAAATGCACCAGGCTTGCCGGTGCAACTATGCATTTTTGCACCAGACTTGAAGTACTTTGGTCGTTAACTGCATGGGTGGTTGTTGCTTTACACTTCTGCGCTCGCTAGCGTGAATTATCGTAAATTTTGTGTGAAGGAAATGAACAATTTTTGTTTAACGGTTATTCTTTGAAGGTGACCCAGATGTTCAGTGAGCAGTTTTCCCGCCAAAA